GTGGATGACATCCTCATTTTCTCACCCTCCTCTGACCTTGTGAAGGAGGTGATGCTGAAGCTGCAGGACAAGTTCAAGTGTAAGGCCCTTGGTGACGTCAACTTCTACCTCGGGCTTCACATTGAACGCGATGTGGAGAAGCGGTGCATGCGGGTGCATCAACGGAAGTACCTGGAGGCATTGGCTGCCAACTTTGGGCATATTGAAGGCCATGTGGCTACACCCTTTCCCTCTAGGTTCAAGTGTGTGAAGGGACCAGAGGAGGAGAGCGTTGGTGAAGAGGAGACGCGTCGTTTTCACTCGTTGTTGGGCAGCCTCATGTTTGCGGCGGTAAACACCCGACCGGACGTCGCGTTTGCTACCGGATAGTGGCTAGGGTTGTTCAATGCCCTAATGAGGAGCAGGTAGCTGCTGGAATGAGGGTGGCCAAGTATCTTGGCCAAACACCGACCGTTGGGCTGCAATACTCGGCGGCGGCGCAAAGGCGCCAAAAGGGCGCGGATGGTGTTGAACTCGGGCGTTTGTTCCTCACCGCATTCTCCGATGCTTCTTATGTTTCAGAACCAGAGGATATGACAAGTGTTGGAGGGTTCATTTGCTGTGTTGATGGAGGCCCAACTGCTTGGGAGAGCAAGAAGCACGTGGATCAAGCATAGAGCTCGGTGGAGTCCGAGTACATGGCACTCTTCTGTGCCGTACGGGAGATTGTGTGGCAGCGGCGTTTGTTGGCTGAATTGGGGAAGGAGCAGCAAGGACCTACCCCACTCTACTGTGACAGCCAGGGTGCCATTGCTCTTTCTAAGAACCCTATGTTGCATGGCCTCACGAAGCACATGAGGGTGAAGTGGCATTGGACGAGGAGCATGGTGACCGCGGGTGAAGTTGAGTTGCGCTACGTAAAGACGACAGGGCAGCCAGCTAACATGATGACCAAGAGGCTGATGGAGCAGCAGCATTGGAAGTGTTCCAAGCTGGCTGGGATGGCTCTGAACTGAGAGAGCAAGTTCCTAAGGCCAACAATCCGAGGGGGAGTTTGTTGGTGCAACCCTACGGTTTGCATTAGGCTTGTTGTCAGTGTGCGTGCATGCGTGTGTGCATGGAATGGTATGAGGGCATAAGATAATATATATTTCATGCTTATAATAGTGTGTGAATGATGAGGCATGGTTTTGAAGGTGTGTGTCGAGTCAATAGCGAGTTATCGCTAGTCGCGTGTCACGTCGTCGTTTGCGTGTCGTGTAAGATATTCTCTTTTGTCGTGTGTGGAACGTTCGGCGTGTCACAGGTGTGTGCAAAAGAATTCCAAGAACTCAAGTAAGAATTTATCTTGAAGAACCAGAGCCTTGGTTTCAAGATTCAAGTGATTTCGAAGCTCTCCAAAAGGGTAAACTTTAAGATAGTGAGAATAGTTGCATTACTTTTTGTAGTGTAACATTTCTCTTGGTGTAGGCCTTTGTGGAGGGTAGTTTTGAGACCCTTCGTGGTTGGGGACAGTGTGGCACTGTTCCACATCACTGTACCTCGGCTCTTGGGGTTTGTAGGAGCTGGGAGTCATTCCCAACTCGTGACTCTTCCTAATTTGTGTTCTAAGTCTATAGTGGCTGAAATAGTGCCGTTCGTTCAAACCGACGTTGCGTCGTCAATTCTTAATGAAATCGTGCAATATAAATTGCCAAGTATAGGCGACGTCAAGAAGCTCCAGATCCAATTTGAATCAAGTCATTTGCAGCTGTGACCAGAACGCTATCAACGTTTGAAGCGGCTGTGCAGAAATCCGACTGTGCACTCTATCTTTCGTTTTAGGCACATTCAAGCCTATTGTGACTATAACACTCTCGCATGAAGACGTGAACCGAGCGATCCTTCAAGAGGACTTCCGCCGCCGTGAGTTGGCGAGTGCGGATGGCGCCAGGGCAGCAAGCATCGGCCGAGGGTATGGCCGTGGAAGGGGCAGAGGACGAGGGGGAGGCAGATTTGGCAGCAACAACTTCAATGGAGGCCGTGGGAGTGGCGGATACTGCAGCGACAACAAGAGCTACGGACACGGTCGCGGCCGATTCGACGGCGAGTGCCACTATTGTCACAAGAGCGGACATATGTGGCGCGATTGCCTCAAACTCCCTGATGGATGGAGTACCGCTCAAGGCCGAGAGGGTAGATGAGCAGGAGGAGGGAGAGGAAGATGTTGGTGCAACCCTACGGTTTGCACTCGGCTTGTTGTCCGTGTGCGTGAATGTGTGTGTGTATGGAATGGTATGAGGGCATGGGATAATATATATTTCATGCTTATAATTGTGTGTGAATGTTGAGTCATGATGTCGAGTGTGTGTGTCGAGTCAATAGCGAGCTATCGCTAGACGCGTGTTACGCGGTCGTTTGTGTCTCGCGCGCGGTTTCTATTTTGTCGTGCGCGGTTTCTATTTTGTCCTGTGTCGAACGTTCGGCGTGTCGCAGGTGTGTGCAGCAGACCCATCAAGAACTCAAGGATGAGTTTGTGATGAAGAGCCCGAGCCTTGGTGTCAAGCCTCAAGTGATTTCGAAGCTTGCCAAAAGGGTACACCTCAAGATATTGAAGATAGTTACATTACTTTGTGTAGTGTAACATTTCACTTGGTGTAGGCCCTAGTGAAGGGTAGTTTCGAGACCCTTCGTGGTTGGGGACAGTGTGGCACTGTTCCACATCACTGTACCTCGGCTCTTGGGGTTTGTAGGAGCTGGGAGTCATTCCCAACTCGTAACTCTTCCTATCTTGTGTTCTAAGACTATAGTGGCTGCCATAGTACCGTTCGTTCAAACCAACGCTGTGTCGTCAATTCTTTATCAAATCGTGCAATCTAAATTGCTAATTGTAGACGACGTAAAGACGCTCCAGATCCAATTTGAATCAGGTCATTTGCAGCTGTGAGCAGAACGCTATCAACGTTTGAAGCCGCTGTGCAGAAATCCGTCTGTGCTCTCTATCTTTCGTTTTAGGCACATTCAAGCCTATTGTGACTATAACAAGTGGTATCAGAGCCCTTGGAGCAGTTTCGACAATGTCTGGACCTGAGGAAAGGGGTGGCAGAGGTGCTGGTGGCAGTGGAGAAGCTCAAGCTCAAGGCCAACCCCGTGATTCAGCCATGGCGCCCATGCAACCAAGTCTTGGCCCACCTAGGGATGAGCCTAGGGTGTTTGGGCTTGACAAGTTCAACGGTGACAACTTTGCTGAATGGTCCTTCAAGATGGAGAACATCTTTGACCACTATGACCTGCTGGAGGTGATGGAAGGAACGGAGAAGCGCCCCGAGAACGACCCGGAGAAGAGCCCGTGGGTGCGGAAGAGCGCACAAGGCTATCTCTTACTTGGGCAAGCGTTGGGGAGCAGTCAGATCCGTCACATCAAGCCATTCCAGCGTGAACCAGAGAAAGGACCAAAGGCATGGGCTGCTCTCAAGGGTGTACATGCTCCTGCAACAGCGGCGGTAGCGGTGGTGTTGGAACGGCAAATGGCGGCACTACGAATTGAAGAAGACGAAGCGGTTGAAGAAGGGGTGCAGAAATTCTTCGACTTGTTGACGCGGCTTGAGGGAGCTGATTTGAACTACAGTGAGCTCCAAAAGAAGACCAAGTTGCTGGCCTTACTCCCAGAGTCATGGTCCTCGCTCATCATCAACCTTAATCGCGACTTGCCCCGCCTCTCGCTTGAAGACGTGAAGCGAGCTATCCTTCAAGAGGATTTCCGCCGCCGTGAGTTGGCGAGTGCGGATGGCGCTGGGGCAGCGAGCATCGGCCGTGGATATGGTCGAGGAAGAGGCAGAGGACGAGGGGGAGGAAGGTTTGGTGGCAGCAACTTCGGCGGAGGCCGCAGGAGTGGCGGTTATGGCAGCGACGACAAGAGCTACGGACGCGGTCGCGGCCGATTCGACGGCGAGTGTCACTATTGCCACAAGAGCGGACACATGTGGCGCGACTGCTACAAACTCCCTGATGGTTGGACCCCTGCTCAAGGCCAAGAGGGTAGAGGAGCAGGAGGAGGGAGAGGACGAGGCCGTCGAGGCCGTGGCGGTCGCGGTGGCGGAGCTGCAAACATGAAGAGCGGAGACAACGACAAGGACCCGAGCGACGATCGATACCCGGGTCTATTCTACTTCGTGTCGACGCAAGTACCGGCTGGTCCAGAGAAGGATGAAGGCTTTGAGGAGCCAGCAGCTGTGGGGAAGGTGACCCTACACCCCCTGGACTATTGGGTGATTGATAGTGGCGCTACCTATAGCATGACACCTCGCCCGGACTTGCTCACCGAACTCGAGCCGTCACCGGTGAAGCATGTCACATCGGCTTTGGGGCAGCGAGCAGAGGTGAAAGGCATGGGCAAGGCCATGTTCAAGGGTGCTGATGGGAAGATGGTGGGCCTCAAGAACGTGCTTTGGGTGCCCAGCCTTGCTGCAAACCTGATTTCCGTGCGGCGGTTGGCAAAGGCCGGCATGGACACGAACTCGAAGGGAGCCAAGACCTACACCGCAAGGCTTGGCGATCGAATTCTTTGGGACCTTCATGAGGACAGGGATGTCTACAACGAGATGTGGCAGATCCCAGTGGTCCCTATGCCTAAGGAGAGGCAAGTGGCAGCAAGCATCAGCACCAAGGATGGAGCGGTCGGTAGCGACGATGGCGCGAACGGTCGCGCTAAGGAGAATGAGCTCAAGAAGAGCAAACTTGGAGGGACCAGCAAGTTCAGTGAACCTAAGGAGAGTGGTGCAGCAACCAAGGAGCAGCAAAAGGGTGAGGAGAACCCAGAGGCAGCAGCGGAGGAGGACTACGGAGAGAGTATGTGGGGCGCTATTGCGAGCGTGGCATTCTCCAATCCGACTTCGGCTACGGGGGAGTGTGATTGGCTCACCTTGCATCGGCGAATGGGGCATGTGGCCCTGCCCATCTTGCAGCAGCTAGTGAAGAATGAGATGGTTGCTGGCATACGTGTGAAGGGGGAACCCGATGAGGTACTTGGCTGCCCGACGTGCATGCAAGCCAAGTTCACCCGTTTCCCGTTCTCTAGTTCGGAGGCAACGGCTAAGGCACCACTTGATGAGGTGGTGATGGACGTGGTGGGCCCCCTGAAGCTTGGAGCTGCTGGAGCTGAGTACTTTCTCACCATTGTGGACGTCTACACTCGCATGACTTGGGTGTACGTGCTGTCCAAGAAGAGTGACGTGGATGAAACGGTGAAGACCGATTGGTTGCCGATGGTGGAGCGGCAACAAGACCGGCTAGTGAAGGCAATCCGCACCGATCGAGGGGGAGAGTTCCTGAGCAAGGAGTTTGGGTTGTGGCTGAAGAAGAATGGTATTCGGCACTCCCTCACCATGCCATACTCCCCTGCAATGAACGGCATCGCCGAGCGAGCGAACCGCACAATCACGGAGGCGGCACGCGGGTTGCTCATTGAAGCCGGGCTACCCGACTATTTCTGGCCTGATGCGGTGCGGAGCGCGTGTGTGGCCAAGAACAGAGCCTTGACTCATGTGGGAGCAGACAAATGGGTGCCCTATGTGGAGTGGCTAGGAAGGAAGCCAAAGGTGGATATGCTTCGGGTGTTCGGGTGCATGTGCATGGCGCTCGTGCCTAAGCATCTTCGGCACAACAAGCTTGGTGCCAAGGCGGTGTGGGCCGTGCACTTGGGCATGGCTCAAAACAGCAAGGGATGGCTTCTTTGGGACCCATTCACCAAGAAGTTCTTGGTGAGCAGGGACTGCAAGTTCATGGAGAACTTCATGTACAAGGATTGGAAGGCGGAGAATGAGGCGAAGATAGGCGTGCGGTTTGGGGAGGTGAAGAGTTCCGGTTTGGAGCATGTGGAGCTGCCTTTGGAGCTGAGCAGCGGCAGCACAACCACAAGGCAATCCTCCCTTGTGAATGGGGGAGAGGAGGCCAATGATGCAGAGGAAGAAGAGGAGGAGGTGCAGCAAGTGAGCGAGCGTGCACCGTCACTCCCTTCCCGTACTACGAGTGCTCCACGGATTCGAGCCACACCGCAGCAACGCCAAGGCCCTCAAGTCCCTGCAGCTGAGGAGGAAGGAAGGGGGAAGAGGAGAGTTCAACCCCCTAATAGGCTGACCTATGATGCGCCAGGAAAGCAGGGCAAGACAGCCCTGGCCGGAGCGGCAATGATGGTCGGAGACGACGAGGAGAGTGACTACGAGGAGTGTGCCTTCGCGTTCTTCTCTCCGGTGGAGATGCCGGGAGAACCAGCAACTCTCAAGGAGGCTTTGGAGAGTAGTGATGCTGAGGAGTGGAAGAAGGCCATGGAGAGTGAGCTGAAGAGCATCGAGGAGAATGACACGTTTGAATTGGTGGAGCTACCGGAGGGGCGTACGGCGATAACGTCCAAGTGGCTCTTCAAAATCAAGTCGGATGCCGACGGCAAGATCGAGCGCTACAAGTCTAGGCTTGTAGCCAAGGGGTACCAGCAGAAGGAGAAGGTGGACTTCAAGGAGCTGTTTGCCCCTGTGGTGAAGCCGACGACGCTGCGAACCCTATTCGCGGGAGCCGCCATCAAAGGATGGGTAGTAAAGCAAATGGACATCGTAACGGCATTCCTTAACGGCATCCTTGAGGAGGAGATTTTTATGGCGCAGCCAGAGGGGTTTGATGATGGTAGTGGCAGAGTGTGGAAGCTGAAGAAGGCCCTCTATGGGCTGAAGCAGGCCCCTAGGCAATGGTACATGAAGCTGCGCGAAGTGTTGGAGGGGATCGGCTTCACTCCCTCAACGGCCGATCACTCCTTGTTCATGCTTGGCGAGGGGGAGCAGAAGAGTTTCATGGTGGTTTATGTGGATGACATCCTCATTTTCTCACCCTCTTTTGACCTTGTGAAGGAGGTGATGCTGAAGCTTCAAGACAAGTTCAAGTGCAAGGCCCTTGGTGACGTGAGCTTCTACCTTGGGCTCCACATCGAACGAGATGTGGAGAAGCGGTGCATGCGGGTGCATCAACGAAAGTACCTGGAGGCATTGGCTGCCAACTTTGGGCAGAGTGAAGGCCATGTGGCTACACCCTTTCCCTCTGGGTTCAAGTGTGTGAAGGGACCAGAGGAGGAGAGCGTTGGTGAAGAGGAGAGGCGCCGATTTCACTCGTTGGTGGGCAGCCTCATGTATGCGGCGGTAAACACCCGACCGGACGTCGCGTTTGCTACCGGGCAGCTGGCTAGGGTTGTGCAATGCCCTAATGAGGAGCAGGTAGCAGCTGGAATGAGGGTGGCCAAGTATCTTGGCCAAACACCGACCGTTGGGCTGCAATACTCGGCGGCGGCACAAAGGCGCCAAAAGGGCGCGGATGGTGTTGAACCCGGGCGTTTGTTCCTCACCGCCTACTCGGATGCTTCATATGCATCAGAACCAGAGGACATGACAAGTGTGGGAGGCTTCATATGCTGTGTTGGTGGAGGCCCAACTGCTTGGGAGAGCAAGAAGCAGGTTGACCAAGCTTTGAGCTCGGTGGAGTCCGAGTACATGGCACTCTTCCGTGCCGTACGGGAGATTGTGTGGCAGCGGCGTTTGTTGGCTGAATTGGGGGAGGAGCAGCAAGGACCTACCCCACTCTACTGTGACAGCCAGGGTGCCATTGCTCTTGCTAAGAACCCTGTGTTGCATGGACTCACGAAGCACATGAGGGTGAAGTGGCATTGGACGAGGAGCATGGTAACCGCGGGTGAAGTTGAGTTGCGCTACGTGAAGACCACGGGGCAGCCGGCTGACATGATGACCAAGAGGCTGCGCAAATAACTCTTTAGATCTATATCTTGACATTTTCTTTGTCGGATCCGTGTCCGGGTTTCGGGTTTCGGGTTCCTCCCGATTGCCTGGAACCTTCCAAAGGCCCCTTGTCATCCCGAGCCGATGCAGTGCACAATGAACTGCAACACGTCGTAATAGGTTGACATCCAACTTTGTTACGTTAGGGCTCAACTCAAGTACATTTTTTCAAGAAGCCCGGACTTCAAGTTTTGAATTCGACCTACGCCTGTGATCGTTAAGGGCTAAAAAACTGTCACCTTCGTCAAAATCAGGGCCAAACTTCGAGCAGCTCAGGACTCGAAGTGTTGGTCCCAGGGACTTCGACAGCCCTGCTGCACAGCACACTACTCTGCAGAATCACCCCTCTGCTGCGTGCACGAAAGAAGTGCGTCGTATAAAAAAAAACAAACAAACAATCAAACAAACAAACAAACAAACAAAAAGCAAAAAAAAAAACAAAACAAAACAAAAACAAAACTTGTTACAGAATGGAAACATTTTGATAGCATTTATTTGTACTACATCATTCTCAAGAGCCATTTGTGTAGTGATGTATTGTTTCGCTCTCTGTCATGGCTTCTTCAACGGCTTCACAACCATAAATGTCAAGCTTAACTATATTAGTTACAAGATCTGGCTACATATTCGGAATCTAAGCATTAAGAGCTGTCAAATGTTATCTTAGCTTGATAGGCTACAGTGTGTAACATTGTAGGGAGTACAACCCGTTTCTATAGTTGGTATTTGTATTGCTCACACATCTAATGCACTCATTCCTCTGTTACATTCTGAAATGGTCTCAGATTAGGTAGCTCCTAGGGCCTAGCTCCGTCAGTTCTCCGGCTCCCTACCCGTCCCTTAAAATCGTGCTCTGCCCCGCGCTCCCGTGCTCTGCTTTAGGCTGCCCCGTCCTTAGGCTGCCCCGTTCTCTGCCTTAGGCTGCCCCGGGCTCTGCCTTAGGCTGCCCCGCGCTCTGCCTTAGGCTGCCTTAGGGTGTCGCGCACTGCCTTAGGCTGACGTGCACTACCTTAGGCTGCGTGCCCCACAGTCAACGCGCCATGCAGACAGCGCGCCCCACAGACTACGCGCCCCACAGGCAGTGCGCCTTGTAGGCCGCGCGCTTGCAGGAAGCGCGCCCCGCAGGTATCGTGCCCCGCAGGTAGCGCACCCCGTAGGCTGCGCGCCCCGCACGCAGCGCGCTGCGTAGGAAGCGCACCCCATAGGCTGCCATTCCATGTGTACCCTAAGCGCTCCTACACCACCCGCATGAGCGACGTTGACACGCGAGCTGCCTGCAGCCACCGTCGACCGCTACACCCGCACCTGACTCCCGTCGACGCCCCGTCGACCTTGATCACCCCTCTCTTCTTCGTGCCCTCGCTGCTGCTGACTCGTGCACCGCCATCAACCTTCTCGTCGACACCACCTTTGTTTTGCACCGGTCGAGGAGATGCAGGACGGGAAGGGTGCTCCGTCGCCCACTGCGCTCGGATGCCCAACTCGATGATCTCCAAGGGGATCGTCCCATACTCGCCATCCTCGTGGCATTTCCTCGCATCAGCCAAACGTGCCTCCAAGATGTCCTCTGTTATAGTCACAATAGGCTTGAATGTGCATAAAACGAAAGATAGAGTGCACAGTCGGATTTCTTCACAGCGGCTTCAAACGTTGATAGCGTTCTGGTCACAGCTGCAAATGACTTAAGTCAAATTGGATCTGGAGCATCTTGACGTCGCCTACAGTTGGCAATTTTGATTGCACGTTTTGATTAAGAATTGACGACGCAACGCTGGTTTGAACGAACGGCACTATAGCAACCACTATAGACTTATAACACAAATTAGGAAGAGTTACGAGTTGGGAATGACTCCCAGCTCCTACAAACCCCAAGAGCCGAGGTACAGTGATGTGGAACAGTGCCACAATGTCCCCAACCACGAAGGGTCTCGAAACTACCCTCCACAAGGGCCTACACCAAGAGAAATATTACACTACACAAACTAATACAACTATTCTCACTATCTTAAAGTTTACCCTTTTGGAGAGCTTCGAAATCACTTGAATCTTGAAACCAAGGCTCTGGTTCTTCAAGATAAATTCTTCCTTGATTTCTTGGAAGTCTGCTGCGCACACCTGCGACACGCCGAACGTTCCACACACGACAAAATAGAAAACCGCACACGACACGCAAACGACGACGTGACACGCGACAAGCGATAACTCGCTATTGACTGGACACACACATTCAAAATCATGTCTCATCATTCCCACACTATTATAAGCATGAAATATATATTATCTCATGCCGTCATACCATTCCATGCACACACGCATGCACGCACACGGACAACAAGCCGAATGCAAACCGTAAGATTGTTGGCCTTAGGATCTTGCTCTCTCAGTTCAGAGCCATCCTAGCCAGCTTACAACACTTCCAATGCTGCTGCTCCACCAGCCTCTTGGTCAGCATGTCAGCTGGCTGCCTTGTCGTCTTCACGTAGTGCAACTCAACTTCACCCGCAGCCACCATGCTCCTCGTCCAATGCCATTTCACCCTCATGTGCTTCGTGAGGCCATGCAACACACGGTTCTTAGCAAGAGCAATGGCACCCTGGCTGTCACAGTAGAGTGGGGTAGGTTCTTTTTGCTCCTCCCCGAATTCAGCCAACAAACGCCGCTGCCACACAATCTCACGTACGGCACGGAAGAGTGCCATGTACTCGGACTCCACCGAGCTCAATGCTTGATCCACGTGCTTCTTGCTCTCCCAAGCAGTTGGGCCTCCATCAACACAGCAAATGAACGCTCCAACACTTGTCATGTCCTCTGGTTCTGAAACATAAGAAGCATCGGAGAATGCGGTGAGGAACAAACGCCCGAGTTCAACACCATCCGCGCCCTTTTGGCGCCTTTGCGCCGCCGCCGAGTATTGCAGCCCAACGGTCGCTGTTTGGCCAAGATACTTGGCCACCCTCATTCCAGTGCTACCTGCTCCTCATTAGGGCATTGAACAACCCTAGCCAACTATCCAGTTGCAAAGGCAACGTCCGGTCGGGTGTTTACCACCGCAAACATGAGGCTGCCCACCAACGAGTGAAAACGCCGCATCTCCTCTTCACCAACGCTCTCCTCCTCTGGTCCCTTCACACACTTGACCTGGGTGAACTGCGCAGCTATCTTGGCTTGCAGATCACCCGGGACAGAGCACGGCGCACCATCATCCTGACTCAGTCACACATGGTGCACCAAGTCCTTCAGCGCTTCGGCTTCCAATTCTCCTCGCCACAGCCCACTCCTCTGTCTACCGGCCACTCGCTCTCAGCTCCACCTTCGGACGAGTCCGTAGAGCCGAGTGGTCCGTACTCAGAGCTTCTGGGTTGTCTCATGTACCTGATGACGTGCACACGACCTGAACTCGCGTACCCTCTCAGCCTTCTGGCTCGCTACGTGGCTCCCGGTAGGCACCGAAAGGTGCACTGGGATGGAGCGAAGAGGGTACTGCGTTACTTGTGCAGTACGTCGGGCATGGGGCTCGTGCTTGGAGGACGGGGTCCAGTTGTCCTCACTGGTCACGTAGACGCTTCTTGGGTGGTCGTCACAGGGTTACATCTTCAGCCTCGGTTCCGGCTCTGTTTCTTGGTGGTCTACCTGCTCTTCTTCAGTTTTCAGCTCCAGTTGTGAGGCTGAGATCTACGCCGAGGCCATGGCTGCACAGGAGCTACGCTGGCTCACCTACCTGCTGAGTGAGTTGGGAGAGAAGCCTCGTTCGCCTCCAGTTCTGTATGTAGACAACAAGGCCATGATTGCCTTATGTTAGGAGCACAGACTGGAGCACAGAATGAAGCACATCGCTCTGCGATACTTCCTTGCTCGAGAGTTTCAGCAGCGTGGCCAGCTTTGTCTTGTGTACGTGGCCACTAGGGCCAACACTGCTGATATATTCACCAAGGCACTTCAGTCTGGTGATCATCAGCACTTCTCTACTGTGTTAGGCCTTGTGCCTACTTTGCCTCACTTGCTCACTGCGTGACTTTGCTTGTACTGTGATCTATATATATACCTGCATGCTTCCACTTGCTAGGGTATGATCACTGTATTGTTTGTGTTCTTTATATAACTCTGTATGTGAACTGGCCTTGTGGCCCGTTGTTTGTGCTCGGACTGTGTGGTGACTTTGTTATCCACCCTGAGCTTGCTTTGCTTTTCTTGACTGGTCTTGTTACCGCTTGTTCTCCCCCACTTTGCCTATGGGGGTGTGCTAGAATGTTATATTGCTTACATTGTGCAGGTTATAGTGGGGTGGCTCATAAGGGGTACAACCCAATTTGGGTTAGTACTTGTACCCAACTCTTTCATAGTTCATTCATTCTCGTTCATTCTTCTGACAAACTGAACTGTAGTTGCGTGCCGAACTGTTGAAACAGGTTTTGCCAGAAATTGCTGGTGAATTTCGTGCCGCGGTTGCTGATGATCGCCGCTGGTATCCCATTCAATCGAACGATGGTGGCGATGAAGAGGCGGGCTGTTTCTTCGGCTGTGATTCCTTTTTTGCAGGCTGCGAAATGTGCCATCTTCGTCAGACGATCGACGACGACCAAGATCGCGTCGTTCCCACTTGCTCTGGCTGGTAACCCCGTGACAAAGTCCATCGTCACTTGCTGCCAAGCACGCTCTGGGGGTGGTATCGGCTGCAACTATCCTTCTGGTCGCTATCGTGACAACTTCATGAGCTGGTAGGTGGGACACGATGCCACGTGTCGTTGCACGTCGGTCAGCGTTTCGGGCCAGTAGTAATACTGCTGCAGTTGCTGCCGTGTTCTTTCTACTCCGAAATGGCTTGAGGTAACCCCGTCGTGTGCCTCCTGTAGTAAGAGTTCCCTTAGTAAAGTGTAGCCCGGTACTCAGATGCGATCGATGCCGGCTTTTACATAATAAACCCCCTTTGCTGCAGCGAACTGCTGCAAGTTTCCTTCGGTGAAGAATGGGTC